CTGTGATCCGATGATTCTATGAAGAGGTGCGGCTGGCAGAAGGCAGCGGAGCCGGTGGTGAGACCTCCCCAGCAGCCGGGAATGCTGCGGGGGGGAAACCAGGGGCTCCTGGCACAGGCGGAGCGAGATGCCCAGCAGCACATCTTCAGGGCCAGGTGCCGCTCTCCTGGGAGCCCCCATGTCATTAGCCAACGGAGGGCACCCGGGTCTCCAAAAAGCAGTAGATGGGCTCAGCTTAAAGATGCCGAGCTGTTAAAAATGGGTCCAGGGGCCCTTGAGGAGCGGGAGCTGGTTACGGATGGGGAAGGAAGAGCTGGTGCGATGGGCTCTGTGGCCGGACCCGTCCCAAACGTGGCTGGGGAACAGCCCATCATTGGAGCCGACGCTGCTTTGGGATGGGTTAGTGGGTCTAAGCAAAAGCGCGCCGTTCTGGATGCGCTTCTCCTCCCCATCCCCGACCTCTGCTACTGCATTAGGCTTAAGCTGGGTTGCTTTTTTGTTGTGGTTTTTTTTTTAGTTTCATATACATCTGGCAGAGGAAAGACCCTTTAAAAGAAAGAAGTGTTTTATGGACGATGCCAACAGATTCACAAGGGTGCTTTAAAACACATCCCATCCCCTCTGCCTTATCCTTCCCTGTCTGCCTTGGCTTTTCCCGTGCAGTCCTCCAAGCTCCTTCATTTCCTCACTCTCCTGGAAGGCTTTTCTTCTTATTTTCTCTTTTTCCTTTCTTCCCATCACTCTCCACAGCCAGCAGAGGGGACAGCCCCTTCCGCGGCACAACTCGCTGACTTCACCCGGGGGTCAAGCCCAGCTCCCCGAGGTGTCAGGGCTGGAGAGCATCCCTAGCTGGGGGCAAAGCCCCGGTGAGCTGGAAAGGAGAGAGCCTCGGGGCTGGGACAGAGCCCGCGAGTTCCGGAGAGCCCCTTGCTGGCATCACCGCTGGTCCTACCAGGAGGTCCTGCCCAGTGCCTTCACCCAACGAGCGTCAAGGTCTTGCTCGGCCGGTTCCCACTGCGGGTAAATCAGTGAAGCTCAGTCTGGTTTTTCTGGACTGTGCACGCAGTTTTTGGCCCAGATGCCACGACGAGTGACCCTCAGCCCTTCCCATGGCAGAAGCTCGGTCCCCACCGACGTCCTGCTCCTGGGCATCACCTCTGCTCCAAAAATCAGCGCTGCTGAGAGAGGCAGGCCACAAAACCTGCAAAAGCTCACGGGAGAGGACATCACTGGAGGACGGTGGAAAGAGCTCCTGGGTCTGCAGGGTGAGGTGGACCACCACGGTCTCAGAGCAAGTCCCAGGAGAAGCTGCCAAACCCCCATCTTCACAGGCGGAAACATGTTCTGCCTTCAGCAACACCCCAAAACCCTCCTTCTTGCCTGCACGTGGTGTTTAGGAAGGGGACTTCTCTTATTGCCCTGAATTTATCCACAAATTAGCGATCCCTACCTTGGCTCATTTACTGCTGTTTCCTCCTGAGCGTGTTCCCTGCATGATGTTCTCCATGAAAGAGTGAAGAAGACTGATGTTCACTCACTTTCCAGAACAATTTTCCCCATTTGGAAATGAGGAAAATAATACTCCGCTGGGGTAATTTTGAGGGAAAATGCATCAAGGACAGGAAAACGCCAACACGGGAAAATACACAGGACTTTGCTGTGGAGAGGAGAAGCTGTCCCTCCACCGGGTCAGACCATCTCTGCGAGATGGTTTGACCCGGGATTTTTGGTGAGGAGGCTCATCCACCCCAGCTGTCCCCCCGCCAGGACAGGCTGCATTTCCCGGGGAGCCCATAGCTCTCCTGCGCTCAGAAGAAAGTCATTATAGAAGTGTAAGACTAGTGCTGCAGAAAAACAGGCCTTTACTTAAAGCCCGGGCTTGGACCGTTGCCTCACTCGGTGTCTGTTTCCTATAAATTTCAGAGAATCCCATAAACTGTAGAAATTCAGAGCTTGCTGCCAGCGTGGTTTGTTATTTATTGGAGAAGGGTTTGGATGAAACCCCCTTATCTGAGCACCCCTGACCTCTGGGAAGTGGGCAACGGGGGCTGTAGCTTGGGGCTCCCTTCGTAGGGGACACATCCAAGCCCTGGAGGTGACCTCCATCCACATGGGGCCAGGAAGGGGAGGTGGAGGGAGGGATCCCTGTGCTGGTGATGGCCTCTGGTGGGGCCTGGGGGTGGTCCATCCCCCCTGGGGGGAACGCCTGATGGCTTTGCCACTGTGGAGTCATCCTCACCCCAAACCAACGACACATCCAAGAAATGCACGAGGAAGGGGGTGCATCCAGTCCATGGCTCGTGGAGCCCCAGAGATGGCTAAACCTTCTTCATGCCAAGAGGCCTCCTCAGATACAGGGGTTACTCTACGCCAGCGAAAGGACGATAGCTAGAAGCAATGCACCGCATGACAAAGACCTTCTAACCCCCGTTGCTGCCTTTGATGCGCCACCCAAGCCATTGCCTCCCAAAACCAAGAGCAGAAGTGCTTCTTCTCCCTGGGCAAGGGGGCTTGAGATGGAGACCGGCTTTGGGGAAGGGTCACCAAGCTGGTGGGGGTTGGTGCTCTACCACTGCGGTGTGGCCATGGCTCTCCCCTGGAGGCAGGGGCTGTGCTGGGGGGTGGTCTCCACCACCTCCTGGGCTGGTAAGCACTGGAGAAAGTCTTCGTCCTCACTGTTGTGTCTCCAGAGAGCTCCTTGCTGGAGCTGTGATGCCCACCACGGGGTCTGTTAACACATCTCAGCGCTGACCCAGCACGGCAGCTATTAACATCTCTGTCTTAGGGGTGGAAATGGGACGTGGGAGCCCATCAGCCTCCTCCCTCTGGAAGGGACACGTCCCCTGGGCATGCGTTTTGCAGAACAAATCCGGCATCAGGGCTCGGTCTTCTACTGGAGCCCAATTCAATTTGCCCGGGCTCCTCAGGATAATTTGCTCGTCTAATGAGCACTTGGCACCGGCCAGTGAGAAAAGCCCACTTTCCTCTGCTCCGGGGAAGGAGAGGAAACCGCGATCCCAAAGCACGTTGTGGTTTTGGTCGGCGGGCCTCGGCGTTTGATGCGCTGCCAGGAACATCTCGGCGTCGATGCCTCCCTTGCGTTAGCACCCGTCCCTGCAGCGCTCACGCCTTTGCAAGGCCTGTCTCAGGGACGCATCCAGGCGTTAGTTTGACCTCCTGCAGCATCAGACCAGGCGTTTTCACCCCGCAGCTCCGATAAAGTCCTGCACCCCCACAACACGGTATTGCAATCCTGCAGGCCGGAGTTACCTCCAAAAAAAACCCCAAGAGAAAGCGCTGGAAAACAAGCGTGAAATGCTGGTTTCTTTATTCTTGCAGCATGCAGGGCTCTGCCTTGGTGGGAGGACGGAGACTTGTCCCAGCCACATCAGCCCAGAAACCCTGGGCTTCCAGCTAGATGGGACGGGGTGATGGAAAAAGCACCCAGCAGCGTTTTCCAAGACTACGCAGCACTGCATAAATGTCATCTAACCAGCCACGTGGCCTGGAGAGCCGTCTCCAGCAGCTAACGGGCCCCAGGAGGTCAGCTTGTGCCCGGACTGGGGTGACTGGGCGAGCGGTGGGATGAACAGAGCCATCGTGTCAGTAGGGCGGGTGATCACAGCAGCGATGGCTCACTTGGGCTGCAGCTCTGGGAGCTTCACGCTGCTCCCTCGCTACAGAAGGAGGCCACTGGCGGCGTCTCATCTCCTGCATCTCCTTTCTACCTGGATCTAAACCCTCCTGGGGCCGCACCGGGAGGCACTGGCACTGGGAGGCAGATGGCGTGTCCCTAGGAAAGGTCCTTCTCCTAAAGACACCATGAAGCGGAGAAGGGATGGAAGATGTGCTCCTGCCCCTGGACTACAAGGGGCTTTCTGGCGGCATGCAAGATACAGGAGGTGGCCACCGCTGTGGCTAAAAAAAAAGCCTGTGAAGGATGGGCCACCAGACATGGCATGGGGGGCTCACCCCAACGCCCGCCCCTGGCAATGACCAGCTCTTTGGAGGACATACAGGAAAGCTGGACACCAGCTCTGGGCCAGCTCGATGCCAAGTCTGCAGATAGAGCAGAGAGAGGATGTTTAAAGAGGAAGTTTTCCTTCAGCTTTCACACGTGTAATTCGCCCAAAGAGCTGGCTGCGTGAAAGCGAGAACTTGCAAGACAACGCACGGGACCTCCAGAAGAAGGGACAGCAACACCTCCCGCCTGGAGCGCTGCCTGCAGGGCTCCGGGCATTTTCCAGACCCGGCCACCGGTCTGTGGCCATGATCCCAGGTCCTGGTGGTCAGTGTGGCCGCGTCCCAGGTCAACATCCCCCACAAGCATGAGATGAGGGGAATACACCACTTCGGCCACCGGTGACCAGGGCAGGCTGCAGGCAGGGCAGCTCTGCCCGGGGTGGTGTCCCTTCCTTGGGCTGGGCTCTTCCTGCCTCCCCCTGCCCACAAGGCATTTTGAGGCAGAAAGAGCATGTTTTGGGATTATCCATCCTGGTTTAGGTTGCAGCATGGAACTTCTTTTAGAAGTTCTCCTGGGACAGATCTGTCCTGCTAAATAGGTGTGTGGCCACTTCCTACGCCCACAGCTTCTCCCTGCTCTTAGCCGGGGTGTGGTGAGGCGCTGCAAAACCACAGCGAGCCGGGAAAGGTCACCAGAAAACAAACGCAAGGCTATTCCTAAGGCCCTTGGCCAGAGCCAAGCGTCGGAGGGCGGCCCGGCAGGTCCTCACGGGGCTCTGGCGAGTGCCTGGTGCAGGCAGCGCTGCCCGCCCGCCTGCGCTGAGCCCCACTGCAGGGCAGGAGCATCACAGACCCAACCGTTTTGCCCTTCTCCCTCCAACCCCTGGACTCTCTCCACCGCTGTGCCTTGGTGGGAAGGTCTCGGTGCAGAAGGTGGTTCATCGGTGCAAGAGGTTGTTCATGTGCAGGCTCACAGCTCAACAAGGTTTCCTCTCCCCCCAGGAGCTCCAGGGTGGGTCCCAAGCCCCAAGGACCTCTCACACCCGTGACCCTCTCTGCCCCTCATGCCAGCGGTCTCTAGAGACAGTTCGCTGCCCAACAAGCCCAGCCAGACCCCACGACCCAGCCGGGAGCATGCGCAGAGGCTGGTCCTTACCTTTGAATCCCCGCATCCCCACTGGACCCGGCGGGCCAAGATCTCCTTGGTCCCCTTTCAAGCCACGTGGTCCTGGTGGCCCTCTCTCCCCGGGTAGCCCTGGAGCGAGGACAAAGAGGCAAAATGACCCTGCTGCAGCGGAGACCTACAAAAACCAGATGCGCGCGCACACACACGCACGCACGTGCACGCACACACGTGTCCTGCTTGCCAGCAGACGTGCCAGTCGGTCTCTGGTTCTTTGCCAGGAGTCGGGGACCATCAGGAGACGCCTGAGAGTCCAGCCCATCCTCTCTTTCTGCACCTGCCCCTGGATACGGGATGGATTTAAGCCAGAGACAGGCTGGTGCTAATGCAGCTCTGAGCATCTTAGGGCTCAGATCAAGGTAACCAGGCTCCAAAGCTGGAGACCAAGGAGGAGGAGCGAGGAGCCAGGGTGGAGCAGAGACCCCAAGGAGACATTAGCTGCAGGTCCTCTGCATCCACGCACGCTGACCAGGCGGGTTTGCTATTTATTGGATAAGGGTTTGGATGAAACCCCCTTATCTGAGCACCCCTGACCTCCAGGAGGTGGGAAATGGGGGCTGCAGTTTGGGAGCTTGGGCTCCCTTCATCGGGGACACATCCAGGCCCCAGAGATGGCCTCCGTCCATGCGGGCCAGCAAGGGGAGGTGGAGGGAGAGACCCCTGTGATGGTGATGGGCTCTGGTGGGACCTGCGGGGTGGTCCCACCAGACGGACCCAGCAGAGACTCAGCCCGAGCCTGAGCCCGGGCTGGATCCGAAGCTCCTGGGGGAGAAGCCCTTCGACTCCTCCTCCATCTCGGAGGAGACGGAGCTCCTCCGGCACCCGAGCTCAGCCCCCTGCCTGGCGCGATGCTGCCCGTCTCCCCTGCCCGTGCTGAGGGAGCCCTGAATTCCCCTGGCACTGTGCCTTCTGCCCCTCCTGGGCTGGGCTTTTCCAAACTTAGTCAATATTTTCCTCTGGTTTAAGAGGAAAAAAAAGTTGCCGGGAGGAATTTGGGCACCAGCTCCAGTGGACACGGTCTGGG